ATCATAATTTGAAAAATTATACATTAATAATATATTATATTTTAACTACTTTATATTATTAAAATCATAATTTTTATTTATTTATATAAATTCTTTATTTAGTTTTAATTTTTTTTACTTAATTAATAAATATTATTAATATGCAATCCTTATAAATTATAATAGTTAAATAGGATTTTCAAATATTAACTTTTTTAAAGTTTATAAAATAAATCAAATAATTATACTTTATATCACAAAATAGCTTTAAGCTTATATAATTTATAATAACTTAAATACTTTTAATAAAATTACAAATAAAAATAATAGAAATAAAAGATAAAAAAATAAATAAAAAAATAATAACAAAAGAAAAAATTAATAAAAGAAAACTAAAAAATAACTAATCATAAAGTAATATAAGTATTTAGTTAACTAAAGATAAAAATTATACATAGCTATTAGATAATTTTATATTACAATTTCTAAAGGATTTTATATATATTTTTAATTACATATAATAATATATTAATTATATTAACTATATTAACTATGTTAAATATGTTAAATATATTAATTATATTAATAATATTAAATATATTTAATATGTTAAGCATTTATATATTATATTATATAATTAATTATATTATTATTACTTAATTATAATATTTAAATTAATTTTAATATATATATTAGGAATGCTATAATCAGATTATAATCAGTCATAATTAGTCATAACTATGACTGATATTAGTCATTCAAAGGCTTTTTATTAATTGATTGATTTTAATTGATTTAATTGATCAGTTAACTAACTGACTTAAAATTAAATAAATATATTTTAATAATAAAAATACTTTATATTAAATTAATAAAATTATTATTTTATTTTAATTATTTATTCATTAAAATTTTGAAAAATTAAAAAAATTAAAATCTGTAATAATGCTATATTACTAAATAAAAATAATAAAATAATTTTAAAAAATGTTATACTAAAATTGTTAAGTAAAATCAAAATTATAATATTTAGCTAAATTAAACTTTTAATCAAGTTAAAATTTTTATATTACTATTAATTAGTTAATTAACTAGTTAGTTAAAATCAGTTAATTAACTAATCAATAAGTCAAAGATCTTTAACTGATTATTAACTGACTATTGATTAATTATGACTGATTGTTATTATTTTTAATATATATTTATATTAAAATAATTAAATAATAATAATAATTTAAATTAAATTTAAAAATTTAAAAGAAAATTTTTTTTTATAAATTTTAAATTATAAAATATAAAAATATTTAAATAATTTAATTATTTATTTTTATATAAAATCTATTTAAAAATATTATTAAATTTATTAATAAAATAAATAATATAAATTTGTTAACAACTTGAATTATTATTTCTTTATATTCTAATATTTTTATTAAATATATTATTAAGTTATTTATATATAAATATTTTAATTTAATAATATATATTTTATTAATTCAATAGATTAATTTAATAAATTAAATTTAATTTATTAACATTTTAAAATAAAATAATAATAATTATTAATTATTAAATATTAGTATTTTGATTTATTTGAATAAATTATAAGTTTTTATTAAAAGTAATATTGTAATAGTTATAAATTTAAGTATTAATTAAAGTATAAAAAAATATGATTTTTATAAGAATTTTATTGTAATTGAATATATGATAACATACATTAAAAATTGATTAATTAATTTATTTATTAATATTAATCATATTTAAATATTAATGATAATGCAAATAAAGTTAGAAATCAATAAAAACTTAATTTTGTTAATAGGTTTATAATAAATATTATCTTGTATTTTCAAATAATAGGAACTCTTATCTCTTAAAAAATAATTAACTAATAATTAAAAAAATATATTGCTGATAATTATTATTTATTATAAAATATAAAATAAATAAAATAATATTAAGAAAAAAATATTAAATAATATAATTTATAACTATATAATTACATTATAATAATTTCTTAAAATTTTATTTTTATTAAAATAAAATTGAATTATAAAATATATTAATATATAATTATATCTTATATCTTAAAATAATTTATATATTAATACTATTAGTAAGGAGATTAAATACTGATCCAATCTTAATAAAAAATTTAAAGTTAAATAGTTTTAAATCACTAATATTACTTAGCTCACTAAAAATAACTTACTTAAACTAAAGTTTCCAAATTATATTCTAAAGTTATTAAATAAAAAAAATGAATTTGTAAGTTAATAATATTATGAAAACATTATTTAATTAATTTAATCTAATAAAATTTATAATTATGTATCTTGAATCTAATAAATAATATTATTTAGATTACTAAAAGTGATTAAAATTTTCAAATTATACTCTGAAAATATTAAACAGAAAAAAATAAATTTTGAGTTAATACCAATATATAATATATTATTTATTAATTCAATTTAATAAAAATTTATATTTAAGTATTATTAAACTTAATAAATGAATTTACTTAGAATACAAAAATAACTTACTTTGATCAAAGTATATAAATTATGCTTTGAAGCTATTAAATAGAAAAAAGTTTTTTTTTTTTTATAAAAATAAAAAAAAAATAGGTTAAATATGTAGCAAACCTGTCAAAGTTACTGTATATTTACTATCATAAATTTCCAATTTTGTAATATACTAAAAAATTAGTGTAAACTAACTCTTTTAACTATTAAAAGAATAACTTGATTGTTAGTAATAATTTTAAAATTTATAATAAATAGCTAGCTCACAATCCTTATTTTTTTTTTTTTGCGATTAATACAATTAATTTCAAAATGCCTGCCGTTAAAGGGATACCAATCTTTTGTTAATTGGCATAATAGGAAAATCAAATAAAGTTTTTGTAATCAGGAATTGCGTTTTTTATGTACCAGTATGATACAAAAAGAAAAGGATATGATATCATAGAAATATTTTTTGCTCTACATACAGGAAACTTATAATCGTCAAATATGTGCCTATCTCATAATATTGTGACGTTGAGATTATATAAATAAATAAGTAAATAATTTACACACTACAGTGGAAGATTTGATCGATTAGAAAATGATGAAATTTTATTGTTAGCCTTGATTTATAAAAAAGATTTATTTATCTTAGTTAAAGTGATGGAATGATTTTTCATACTATATTGGTGGTATTAAAGGAACGGTTAAAAAATGAGCCAGATGTCCAACAAATTGATGAGTAATTATATTATTTATAGTCACTCTTCATGAAAATAATCAACATTATAATGTATATAATGTTCAATTCATGTTGTTATAATCTCTCATTTATATTTTGAAGATGGGATGATGCGCCGTTTACATGTTAACAATATAATAAGATTTGCAATCCGTATTGGACGTTTCTCTTGGCTTCACTTAGCTTCACATGGTCACTGTAAAGGTTTATAGTAGAAAAGTGGATGAAATTTAAACAGGTCAATTTGTTGCGCAAGTTCAATAAACATCAGCGGCAACGACATATGGGAGGGAAATTTTTGACTAAAATTAAGAGCTTAATACATTTTAATCTAATAACATCAAAAACTAAAATGCAATAAAAATCTCAATTTTGCTAAAAAATTCCCGGAACCTGATTTTCCTAGCAATCAACCCATATGTTCTCATTATTTATTTCGTTAACAGAGTAATGAATCCATGCTTCGTTTGTAAGAACAGATCAAATAAAAATGATTCAGTATAAAAATATCAGACAAGACTATCCTTCTCAATCAATTTGTCGAAACACATTTGACAAATAAGGACTTCACATGATAGCCATTTCCTCTCAAACTAGTAATATGTCATGCAAGGTGTCGTGAAGATTAAACAATATGTATTCAAAATATGGAATTTTCAAATGCTATAGACACAATGCATTTATGTAACCTAAAGAAATTCTTTTATGAAAATCTGTCAAGGAATTATTTCAAAAACTTTGTTTTGCAACTAATGAAGTTCATTTGAAACAATATGTTCTTTGTGATAAAGGAAGGTATGAATAAAAGCAGACGCAAGAAACGCAAGGAACCCGTGCATTTGATGTAACCACATTGAGTTGATCTTTTATTTAAAATTATTTTTGAAACATAAGTCATGGTTATTTGTCACGACCAAACGTCACATACCGTCTTATTAATAGGAAAAGTTTGTGATCGATTTCTTGGATTTATTCAAAATTATCCGTTTTAACTTGTAAAACGAGGTCAGAAATCCCCTATTGTGATCCTTTTAATACCTTGACGTTCTGATTGTGTTTGACTCCGGATTAGATAATGGGATCAACATTTTTTTTTTTGACACACTTTTTACATAATAGGAAAACAATTAATAAATTCTACTTCATATATAAGGAAAATCGTGAATAACGAAAATGTAACATTTGTTTACTATATCGAGACGGCGAAACAATTCCCGCCAATTCTTAAGAAAAAAAAAAAATTGTTCACATGTACTATTATTATTTTTAAATGAGTAACGGCAAAATCCGTCCTTTTTTTTTATATTTTTTTCTTTTTCCTACTTTTAAACTTATTTAAACCTATTTAAACCTAATAATTAACTTAAAATGTTCCATTTTTAAAATCAAAAGCATTGCTCCACATCGTTATTAAGGTTGATCGGCAACTGATTAATATTTCCATTGTCTTATTCTCTCCATAATTCGGCCGTTTGTTAAATGTAACCATATTTGGTTCAATTTCTGTAACATCAAAAAGTTTTGGAGTCGAACCTAAAAAAAAAAAAATGTACAGCATATTTATACATTTATACAGTATAACAAAAAATATTACGGAAAACAAAAAAAAAGTTTCAGCCAAAAAAAAAAAAAAAATCATTTATAAACGTATGCAAAAAACTTTTCTAAACTTTCAAAAACCAATTTGTGATTTTTTTTTTTTTTTTTTTTCATTTTACTCAAATTCTTCCTTCACGAAATAAAATAAATTAAAATAAACTTCACACGCCATGGGTAATATCATAAGTGATCATTCACCGAGATTAAGTTTGGGTGGTAAGAAACGAAGAAAAGTTCAACCACATAGACAACCTTCAACGATATCGGCTACATCGACAGCAACAGCAAGTTCATCGGATTCTACATCATCATTTCGATATATTGACGGTCGAAGATTCAATGAAAATACAAAATACACCTTACCAAACGATGATGAAGAGATTGATAGGTTACATATGCAACATTACTTGCAAAGATACATATGGCAAGGAAACTTTTGCGCTCCTGTACATAATATTCTAAGGACCCCTGGCGCAAGAGTTTTAGATGTTGGATGTGGACCTGGAACTTGGATATTAGAGATGGCCTTTGATTACCCAGACACTCATTTTACCGGAATTGATATATCACCCATGTATCCCAAAGAGATTAAACCAAATAACGTGGAATTTGAAGAAGCTGATATAAATCAAGGACTTCCCTTCGCCGATAATACTTTTGACTTTGTTGTGATGAGAAATATGGTCAACGCCTTAAGTGATGATGATTGGCAAAAAGCTTTAAAAGAATTGGAAAGAGTTTGTAAACCGGGTGGATTCGTCGAATGTTTAGAATTTGAAATTCCAGGAGTACGTCTCGGACATACCACAAAACGAATGGTAGAAGCTTGTAAGTTTTTGGAATATGATTATGACTCGTTTATCAAAAAATAAAAAAAAAATTTGAAATCATTCTCTAATTGTCATTCTTTTTTCTTTTGAAAATTCAGATATTCAAATAATGCGCACAAAGAATATCGATGTAACAATAGCACCACGCTTGGAAGAAATGTTAACAACAAGCACATCATTAATGAATTTGAAACATCACGTTAAAATGGTCCCATTTGGCAAATGGGGTGATAAAGCCGGTAAAATAATGGCCGACGATTTACTTTTAATAGTAAAAGCCATTGCACCAATTCTTATACCATTATGGGGCGTTGGCGCAAGTCAATATCAAGAATTTACAAACGGCTTAGCAAGAGAATTGGATATGGGAAGAGCCTATTGTAATATACATACGATTTTCGCTCAAAAATATGATACATATCATTATATTTAAGTTAAAAACAAACAAATATGTAAATTAATTTTTCGATAGATTACTTTTTTATTGATAGCAGCATTTCATAGCCTTTTAGAATTCTTTAATTCATAACAAAATAAATCATGTTCACATCGAGTGCAATATCGAATCACCGTATTATTATATTAAAAAGTTCACCGCAGATTTTTTACATTATCCCTGGTGGAAGTTTTGTTAAAAAATTAAAATGCACATGCACGGGTTTATTAATTTCATGTAATAAAAAAAAAATCTTCAAGGAATGAATTTTTTACCACTGGAGAACAACAGGTTAATTTATAACGTTGACATTCCCGCTGACCAATAAAATTTGTACAATGGCAACAATTTGGATTGAATGATGATTTATTCGTTATATTTATATATTTATATTTTATTTATATTTATATTTATATCTATATTATTTATATATCTATTTACTAAAATATATGTAAATTATGGATAAAATCTATTTGAAAATCTATTGTTAATTAATATATATATTCTATAATAATTATACTGTACAGTAAATATACACTTTTATATGAAAATACAATAATTATGGTGCTCATGATGTCATGTCCGCATGTGGCAATTTTACACGGCGCCTAGTTTACCTTTTCCTCATACGTGCGATTCTAATTAATGTGGCGTAGTACATCATTATTTTTGCGCCTTTTTTAAGATGGAGGGCACTCGTTTTGTATGAAAAATGATTACTTGATCAATAACCACCTATCAAACAATAATTCGGCAGAATATAAAGATTTGGTCGAATAGGTTGACGACATTTCTCGCTATTATGTATGAATGGTTTTTTTTATGTAAATAGTACATAGAAATGTAGAGAAAAGAGAGAGAAGAAAGAGAAAGTATTGGTAAGCAAAAAAGATGAAGTGGAAAAAAAAAAGTTTTATTAAAAAAATAAAAACGGGTTTCATAAAGGAAAAAAGAAATATTAAAATTTTTTTAGAGATAGGGAAACATCCTCTTTTTTTTTGTTCTTGTTTTTGTACTTTTTTTTTGTTCCCCCTCATAATAATATATTATTGAATCTTAGCATAGAGAATTATTTTGTTAAAACAATACCATAAAAAAAAAAAAATTCAAATAACTTAGTGAAAAATCATACACTTAATCTCTTTTTACTCCTCTTTTTTTTTTTTTTAAAAAAAAAAAAAAGAAAGAAAATTACTGTAATAAATATATATATATTCCTTAAATAACATTTTTTTTTTAAAAAAATAATAATTATTAATTTGAAGTTTTAAATTATTTCTATACGAATTTTTTATCCTTTTTTTTTTTTTTTTTGGTAAATCCCCTCAACTCTAATTATTATTTGCCAGATCTATTTCTTGCCTCATCCAATTGAAAAGGTAATACTACATCGCGTTGTCTATTACTATTAAAGCGATTAGCGAAATCCTCGAATTCTTTACAAAAGGGACGAATTCTTATATACCTGACTTCAAAGTTCTCTCCAAATCTTCCTCTCGTTTTGTCGGGTGAACTTGAACCGTTGTTTTCGGTATTGTCGTTGATGAGTGGTCGGATCATTTCAGCTGTTAAATTGGAGCATTGGGTAACTTCCAACAGTTCTAGATTTTTGCATTCTGAAATCGAAGTCCATTCTCCACAATCTTTAAAATCAACCTGATCAAACGATATCTGCCGAAGTGTGGACGTATGCGATGCAAGTGCGGGAAAGAATATTCTTGTGTAGCCCTTACATACCGATAATCGAAAGTAGCGAAGGGATCGTTGCGAGGATATTAGGGAAGCTATACATTCTCCCGTTCTTTCAATGTGCTTTTCAAAAGCGTGTCGTGACCAAAGCGTATCTATACATAAGGATTCCTAATGATTTATTTATAAGGGAAGGAGAATAGCGTGCGGAAGAAAATTAATATACTTGTCGTTTATTTTTTTAAAAAATTATCAGTACACCTACCACTTGATGACAAATTCGTCCTAAAAGTGTAAATAAATCATCTCTCCTACATGGGCCGTGAATCTCCAAATGCTTTACATTTTTGACTAAATTCATGCATTCAGGTTCTTCTAATACTTGGTACAAGTCATAATCATTCTTTAGTCCGGGATAAATCCACAAACTGCATAAACTTGCACCTTGTTGCATGGAAAGTTGAAGCAAACTTCTCATAATTAATTTTATTTGATCGTTTATATTATCATTCTCATCATCGGTTTCCTCCTCATCTGCCTCCTCATCCGATAATAAATCCCTCACCGATCTCAATAGAGATTCGTACATTAATGTACGTATATATTTGGGATAAGGGAACATTGGTTGAAATTGAGGGTGAGATGAGTTGGTGATAAAACTCAATGCCATGCTTCCTTGTCGTTGCCTATCGTAATCCTCCTCCTCCTCCTCCTCTACCTCGTCTACCTCGTCTAATTCCTCTACACGTTCAATTAATCTGTCAATGTCAATTCCATTTTCGATCAAATTATCTCTGGCATTGCCATTTAGGCACTTTAAATACATTGAAGTTACCCTCATACTTTTTACGAGCCCGAAATGAAACGGCTGTTTCCATAGAATAGGAATAGCGATTTTACACCATTCCCTGTTAACCAGAATACATTGATATATATGATTTAATGCATCGGTTCTATATTCTCCCGATATTGGATCTGTTTCGGTAAGATGTAAAAACACTTCATGAAGAATGTCCGGTAATAGAATGGTCATTTTTTTTTTTACCTGTATTATAGGAAGTGTTTAAAGATTAAGGCGTTTAAATATTTTTTAGGAAAAAAAAAAAAAGAAGTATTTGTTGAAAGGAAATTTTTTTTTTAAAAAAAAAATTAAAGTTGCGGTGTTGTGAAATGATGATTGTGCGCTTGAATTGGTTTAATTTTTTTTTTTAATTTTTGTTGATATTAAATTGTAAATAATTATGTATTGTTGCAAATAATTTAAAAAGAAAAAAAAAAATAAATCAAAAATCAAAATAAATGTTGCTTTTTCAATTTTTCAAGGGGGGGAGAGAGGTGGGCTGGGGATATTTTGTATTTTAATTTTTTTTTTGTTTTTTTTTTTTTTTGTTTTTGTTTTTATTATTATTATTATTATTATTTCGTATCCTTTTATTATTTCAATTTCAATTTTTTTTTATATTAAGAGTAATATATTATCCTCTCTCAAATCTTTTTTAAAATGAAATCTTTTTTTGGAAGAGATGATTTTTTTTTTTTTCCTGAAAAATTCAGGATGAGGAAGGGTTAGAATTTATATTAAAAAAAAGAACCCAAATCAAGATAATAAACAAACACCAAGAACTTTAAGGTTTTTTTTTATTTTATTTTTTCTTTCTTTATTCAACAATCGGAATTATCGAATGTGTTTGGTCGAGCTGTATTTTTTTTTTGTTGTTGTGGTGGTGGTGGTTGTTTGTTTGGAGTAATTAAAATGCAACCAGTATATGACCGTCGTTTCGGTAAAAGTTGATAATAACCCCCGGGAACAAAGTTGTGGCTTGTAAATATTTTAGGTTAATACCAAAGTCAAAAATCTATAAAAGGTTTAATAAATATATATATTCACTTTAATGCATGGTGTCAAATGGGAAACAAAGACCTATGATGGAAAAAATAAAATAATCTAGTTTCGAGTTCAAACGCTTTTTTTTTTTTCTTTTTCTTTTCTTTTGATTAATCGAAATCCTCCAATATATGGACGGATCATCTTGTTTTCCTAAACGGATCAACAACAATTACTTAAGAAAAAAGGAAGCGTGTGTTCATTAAAAAAAATAAAAATGCACAGACGCTGAACAAGAGAAATTGCCATAAAGAACGGTTTTTGAAGATCAAACAAATCACATGAATTTAACAGAGTTGATTCGTTAGGCAATCGTCCTTGGTTTATATATCGTGTTACAGAAACAAACCGACGGTTTCCAATTACGACGATTTTCCCATTTTAAACAAGGACTTTCTCCACAACAAAGACTCGAACATGCTTACATATAATAACCTTGTATGGGGAGGGTCCCATCTTTACCGTTATTATTAAACAACGGATTCTTGTAGTAATAGTATTCGTTTGTCAGGTAAATTTGACAACGAAATAGGCAAAACAAGCAAAGCCACACCCACAAGAAACTTATGTCATGCCGGTAAATCAATGAACGATTACGATATCATCATCGAATAGCGTGTGTAGAATTGTCGAAACGAAATTTTCAACCCTTTGTCTTTTTTGAAGTATGAACTATCTACCATCCATCAAATGCGGATGATTATTGATCGCTACAAAAATCTCACACATTAAATGAGAGAAATGGTCGTTATTAGATAATCTTGTACCTTGATTATTTGATAATTAACGTTTCGAAAGTCAACGCTAACGTCTTTTGGGAGGAGAAAAAGGTTGTATCACTAAATGTCAAAATGTTGTCAAAATATTAGAGTCAAAAAAAAAAAAAAAAAAGGGAATCCTTGTTTAAAAATCAAACGGTTTGCGTTAGGGTTGAAACAAACAAAAAAAAAGTTTCCCGCCAAAATTTAAAGTTTATTCCTATAATGGAATGAATGCAATAAGTTAAAAATTAACTTTTGAAAGAGATCAAATATAAAATAAAAAAACGTGCTCAAAAACTTGTTTAGGTGTGAGACATAAAAATATCCCGATGATAACGTTAGAGATGGATAAATTTAAAATGAATAAATTCATTATAAAAAAAAAAGCTAAAACTTTATTCCTCCTGCCATATAAAGGCAATATGCTAATATAATCAAACGGTTGTATCCATGTTGCAATTTTCCTTTCTTGTGTTCATCGATGATTCATCCAAAGAAATCTCCGTTAGCAATTTCTTGTAACATATGAAACAGGTTTGGCAAGTTTGACATTTTGACTAAACTAAAAACAGGTTTAACTTAAATATGACGTGAAGCCTCTTCCCCATTACAACGCTGACACTACCGAAAGATAAATGAATTATTGATGTCCCGTACATTGTAATTTATAATCATTTGAGACCGTGAGACCGTAAGCCACTAGGCTACGCAATCGAATACTTAATAGGAAACGAAGTGTTACCTCGTATCTTGCCGACGCAGTATCCTTTTTTTTTTAAAGAAAAAAAATAAAATAATTCTGGTCATGTGAGCAAAATCATTGGTGACTGCGGTTAATCGGTCAATCTTGTAAAATCTCCGAGAACAAAAAGTTCAAAAATAAAAGAAAGCTTATATTACAATTTTTATTGAATTTCTGAATAACATGAATTCAAATTTAAAACATAAATTATAAATTACATAAAAAGGAAAATATATCGCATTAAAAATTATTACATAATGAAAACTAATCTTAAAAACATAAATGATAATTATTATTATTGATTTTTGTTTCCAAGCATTTTCACCAAGAAAAACCCCAGCATAATGCAAGCTATTATAAGGATCACACACATCCAACATAGGAAAACTCCAAATGTGATTCTACATCTTGGGAGACATGGAAATAATTTGCATTTCCTTTCTAAATAATATGTAACAACAAAAAAAAGGTTAAATCGTCATATTGTGGAAATTTCAATTTAATAAATCTCCTTACCCTTCTTTATTCGCGATTCTTCTCCCATCTGCTGCAAATGATGATGAAAAAGTAAATATTAATATTTTACGAGATTTAAAAGAGAGTAATATTTTGAAGCAAAAAAAAAAACCTCGTACCTCTATTAAAGATTATAAAAAACAAACGAACGAATCGATTAAAAAAGATTTTATCAAATAAAATGTAATCGACTAAAAGCTTAAGATTTTTAAAACTCACCCTCACCGAACCCGCTATCAACTCCGCCACCAGATTTTTTCGAGACCGAATTAAGATTCTTCGATGACGTGGCAACGACATTATTGGCCTCGTTCGGGTGAACTTCGATACTAATTGAATTTTCAAATTTCACTTTTACATCCTTTCTCTCGACGCCTTTTAAATAATTCCCATTGAAAGTCGTCATCTCAAAATCTTCATCGTACACCGGAGTCAAATTCATCCTGCCCAATATGGACAATACACCGTCGACGGTCGGTCTTGCCATGGGATCATTGTCCCAACATTGTTCATATAAATCGATGTACTCTATGGGTGTGCCTAGGATAGGTTTGTCTCTTGATCCCGATAAAATTTTTTTGGCCACTTCAAAATTATGACGAAACGAAGAGAAAGGAGCTCTCTCGCTTGATATTTCATACATTAATAATCCTAAACTATATATGTCTGATCTTTTGTCACGTGGATAAGACGGATTGGCTAGAACATTTGGCTCAATGTAGGGCAAAATTTCGATGTTTTCTGGTATTGAAGCATCCATCGTTTTTGAAAGTCCCAAGTCACCTATTACCATTCTGCCATTATGAACCAGCACGTTATGTGGATGCTATGATATCAAACACGAAAAGGTGAATCACACGAACAGGTGAATATAACGAAAAAAAACCGAATGATGATTTACCAGGGACGTGTGCACGATGCCATGGCTGTGTATGCACTGTAGACCATTTGTTACGTCGATCGCCAACCTCATTTTATCATGCCAAGTGAGTTTCTGGTGTTTCTCTTTTAAATATTGTCGTAGGTCTCCTCCGTTGGCAAATTCCATTACCAACAAATAATCTCCGTCATCAGCTTCTCTGCTGTACCCAAAGATTGTTAGAATGTTTTGATGATAACTCAATTG